ATATCAAGAAAGGCAGACAATTTATAAAGGTTGAATTTAAATCGGTTACATAAGACTTTTATTTGCCTAAAATGACAAGTTTCAAAAGCTACTTCCCATGTGCTTCTACTACATCTAGTCACTAGAAAAATTTAGTAGTTTTGTTAGAAAAGTTCTGGAGACCTTTAGTTTTTAAAAACCTTTCAGTTTTGTTAGTAAGCAGTTAAAATACCACTGGCTAAAATAATTAAGAATAATTCTGATTCTATGTGACATATAGTAAATCTTTGTTTTCCTCATTAAATATAATCAAATAGACATTCAAGACTGCTATACTGAGGACTCAGAAGGAAAACCGCCCTGCAATGGTCTCAGTAAGCTGGCACGAGGCACACGTGCAACTCCTTTGAGCTACAACAGTCATACTCTTCTGGCAAACACTCAGATTTTTAAACACTAGACAATTTTAGTCAACGGTTACCAAAACAAATAGCAAAATATAACACAAAAAGAGATCATTAGGAGGGGCACAGCATAGCTACAGCCTAAGTGGGAGTGTCACCTAGAGCAAAGCTGGCGTTCCCATCACCTGTGACGGACCGCACTGAATGGGCAGCAGGTCAGGGAGCTCGGTGACGTCTCTGGTCTCTGTCACCGGGGCTGCGCTGCAGCCCTACATCCTAGCGCCTCTTACAAAATGTCTGAAAGGAACTCTCCACCCACCTCCCCTAATTATGTAATTCAAAATAAAACAGTAAAAGCATCTTCACATCTTATTGCTGTTTTATTATAATGCTACCTGAACACTGAGTTCAGTATTATTTCCTTACCAGGTCACCGCTAATACAACACTCCTCATACCAATGTCTCAGCCGCAAGTTGAGCATCTGTGAAAAGTTGGAATGACTAAGTTTATTTAAAACAAATTATGCATTTGGTATTGTTCAACTATATATGGCTTTCCTCTAAACCTGCCATCCAGTTCTAAGGAGACAGGACTAGATTAAATATAAATAACAAGAAGTACTGACTTGCAATCTTATCATTCAAGAACTAATTTCAGAAACTAGTAAATTGAACCACATAAAACTGCCATTTTGGTAGATCAAAAATGGTCAAATATTGGAAATTTCACTGTTTTGAATTAACACACGGCAAAGCTTTTGTGCAGTTATCCGCAAGGCCAGAGAAAGTGCTTTAATCTAGAAGACTCAAGCCTGGACCTAAACTATAGCAGAGAATAGATGACATGCATTTAGCCTGTTTAACAAATCCACTATTTAAGTAACAATACAGCTATTAACATGAAACAAGTGATCTAATGCAAAGCGTTTTAGATACTCTTGAGTCACCTTATTTAAGGTATTGGAACAATATAAATCTAAATCTCAGGCAGAAGAGAGGCAGCAGCTGAGTACAAATTTTGTGGCAAGTAAAGTCTGATGGAGGGCAAGCAAGACAAGTTTTTCTGGGGTAGTTAATCTATAAACTGATTTTTAACTGGAATCAAAATTTCTAAGACTTGATAAGAATTTTAGTCTGAGCTACTGAGCAGTAACAAGGAAAAAAGAGAAAGTTGAGTACCTCAGTATTAGTTTCTTAATTGATTAGTAAGTAATCAATTAAGGGGAGAAAGTAAGGGAAATAAACAAGTTTTACTAAAAAACCCACAAAAACATAGCTTCAACTTTCAAATGAAAAACTACAAAAAAAGGATACACTTGGCAAGTGAACAGGTACTAGCTATATGGGGTCAGGTAAATCCCTTTTTGCCTCAACCTTACTTAGATCTAAGGCTTGCTGTATCTTTGGTTAGGAGGCCTCATTATTATTGTGCACATTTTACAATGAGCAAAAAAGCTCTTACAGTCACAGAGGTTCACTTACATCACCAATTCCATGTACCCTAAAACCCCCCTAATTATATTGTGCAAGCCTATAAGTCACACTTTCAGACAAAAATAATCACAGGTAGGACAACTACTTAATACAATTAATAGAGCAAGTATCCTAACCACACATACATGTATATCTATTAAGAAGCAGGCACCAAACCAGGGATACAATGTGTGTAAGTTCTTTTGAAGCCCACTCCTAAATCCCAATCTCAACTCTTCAAGGGAGTCAGAAATATATATATATATATATTGCCTATAAGATGGTAATGGAAATGTTCTTGCAAAAGAGAAACTACCTTTGGCTTATTTCTGCAGTTTCCCTGAAAATAACCATTGGCCCAAACTTACTGGCTTTCATTAATCTTCCTAAAGTCAGGAGGCAATAGGCCTAGTTCAAACTGTAACCATCAGATCTTTTATAGCAAATTAACCAAGTTCAGTTGACAAAAATTCTCTTAAGGTCTCCTAATAACTGGAAATTTCAAAATTTCCAGGTTTCTAGCCAGAACAAAAATGCTGCTTATCGTATCAATCATAAAAACACATGCATTGTGCAACTGCCTGTTTATTTAGTGGCACTAATTTTGCAAACTAGAAATTATTTCTGCTTTTCATCTCACATAATTTACAAGCATTCACAGGTTGAATGAAATTTCTCCAATGAACTTGAAAACAAAAAGTACAGTATTTGGCTGTGTATAATGTGCACAAAAACATGGATACACATTATACACAAAAGTGCATTACACACAGCAAAATACAACACAGCACATTGTTAGGGCTTCTGGTCCAGATGGCAGTGTAGGCAGATATGGCTCACTTCTTTGCACAACCCTATCAAAATTACAACTAAAGTATAGAACAACCATCACTCAGAACTGTCAGAAATCAAGTTGAATGGAAGTCTGACAACTACAGAATTGAAAAACCACATCCATCCAGACTGAGCCACAAAGCCGGTAAGCTGGTGTCACATCAGAGGTTCCATTAACCAGGTTAACACTGTATGACTAGCCTGGGAGATTTTCGGAGACTCTGCCCCACCCAATTTTCCAACCCACCCAAGCTGCTTTTCCATATGAATGGCTAATCTTGGCTCTTGCTGCAAAACATCCTAAATCCTCTCAATCAAGCAACAGCTGGCCTCAGTGAGCCCCAGGCCTGGCACTAGCAGCAGCCAGGCTAGATTCACAGTTTGGCTTTGCCTGGGAATCTCCAAGCCCAGCACAAGCAGCAGCCATCTCAGATTGCTTTATAGCTCAGGCAGGGTGGCCATGGGGGAAACAGGTGGGGGGCCGACCGTGATCAGCACCACCCAGGAAACCCCAGGACCAGCACACCTAGAGGACAGCTTGACCATGACAGAGCATCACCATACTTCCCCTGTGGAGCTGATCCTCCATGGAGGGTGGAGGTTGGTGATAAGTGGTCACAGCCAATCCTTGCAGCTGACTGGCCTAGGTAACTCCCTCCCATTGATCTGCCAACAGCAACCAAGAGTCAACTACAAGAGAAGGGTGTACTGAGCCCACACGAAGGGTGCACCTTGAGCACTCAGCTTGGGTGACAGGGGAGGTTGTGCAACAGGACCCTATAGGACACCTACATTAGGCCATGCTTCCAAGACATGGAGTCAAAGCAGCTCTACCTAAAACATAGAAACAAACACAGGGAGGCTGTCAAAATGTGGAGACAAAGAAACATGGCCTGAATGAAAGAACAGATCAAAATTTCAGAAAAAGAACTAAAGGGAGATAAACAATCTATCAGATGCAACATTCAAAACACTGGTATAAGGATGTTCAAGGAACTCAGTGAGGACCTCAGCAACATAAAAAAGACCCAGTCAGAAACAAATGATACACCAATTGAAATGAAGAACAATTTATAGGAAAACAGTAAAGCGAATGAAGCCAAGGATCAAATCAATGATTTGAAACATAAGGAAGCAAAAAACAACCAATCAGAACAAGAAGAAAAAGGAATCCAAAAAAAACGAGGATGGTATAAGCAGACTCTGGGACAACCTCAAGCATTTCAACATTTGCATCATAGGGGTGCCAGAAGGATAAGAGAGAGAGCAAGAAATGGGAAATCTGTTTGAAAAACTAATGAAAGAAAATGCCCCTAATTTGGTGAAGGAAATAGACATGAAAGTCCAGGAAGCACAGAGTCCCAAACAAGATGGCTGCCAAGAGGTTTACTCTAAGACACATCATCATTAAAATGCCAAAGATTAAAGATAGAGAATCTTAAAAGGAACAAAGGAAAAGTAGTTACCTACCTACAGGGGAGTTCCCAGAAGACTGTCAGCTGACTTCTCAAAAGAAACTTTGCAGGTCAGAAGGGACTGGCAAGAAATATTCAAAATCATGAAAAGCAGGGGCCTACACCAAGATGGCTCTACCCAGCAAAGATATAATTTAGAACTGAAGGGAAAATAAAGAGCTTCCCAGACAAGAAAAAAACTAAAGGAGTTCATCATCACCAAACCATCATTATACGAAATGTTAAAGGGACTTACTTAAGAAAAAGAAGATCAGAAATATGAACAATAAAATGGCAAAAAGACATCAACAACTCAATCTAAAAACCAACTAAGTCAATAAGAACAGAGAGAATCATGGACATGCAGAGCATTTTGATGGTTGCCAGATGGAAGGGGAATCTGGGGAGATGGGTAAAGAGGTGAGGGGATTAAGAAGTACGAATAGGCAGTAGAGAATAGCTATGGGGATGTAACAAAGTACAGGAAATGCAGTAGCCAAAGAACTTCTAAGTATGACCCATGGACATGAACAATGGTGGAGGGTATTGCCTGAATGAGTGGGGGTGATGGGTGGAGGGGGGCAAAAGGGGAAAATCAGGAAAACTATAATAGCATAATCAATAAAATATAATTTAAAGAGGTACATTCTTAAGGTTAGAACCAAATATATTTTCTTTAAACTAGGAAAATACATAATACAAAATATACACTTATATAATTTCTTTAAGTTTGAATCACATAAACTTCAAAGAATGGGTGAATTACTGTAGGGAATTTTGTTGGACCCTGTTTAGAAAAAATATTTCTGCAGTTGTATTATTTTACACTTACAGATTAAAAAAGATCAATATACGTATAATGCAACATGCTTTTAATATGTACATGGTCTCTCCACTCATAATATTGATACAAATTAAGAGAAAAAAATAATTTCAATAGTGAAACCAACCAGAACAGAGAATATAACTACAAACAAGATATTTTCCTACGAGTACGTACAATGGTGACTTAGTTAAGGACTAATCAACTAAGACAATGAATGGTTTCTGCTTCAAAATTTCCATAAATGGTAATTAAATAAGCTGTAACTGAACATCTAATCGTGGTAACAACTGCAACAAGCTAATGAATTTTTTCATGGTAGTTATATTTCAGTAGAAATCTCATTACTCCTGTACATTGGTGGCTGCCATGTTATTACATCTTATTTTTAATATTCTCTATCAATACTCAAATATCTAATTCCTTGGAACCTGAAGCGAATCAAACATTTAATGAACTCTAACACCAGAAGCTCAAAATCTTAAAACCTGAGTGAGACCTGACAATCAAAACGTGCTGAATGTAGGTGCTGCCATGTCCAGATTGCATCTGCACCATGCAGGTCAGAAACATTCTAGAAACACTCAATCTGTGTTTCACCTCTTTTCTGTTGACTTTTAAAAGTGGCAAAATCAGAGAATGTTATCTTCCAAAATTATCCTAATACTATTTTTTCATCTTTAATCACTCTCCCATTCCTCCAAAACACAACCTTTAAAAAGATATTTTAGCGCTGGCATGGTGGCTTAGTTGGCTGGAGCATCATACTGTACAGTGAAAGGTTGTGGGTTCGCTCCCTGGTCAAAGCACATACCTAGTTTGTGGGTTTAATCCCTGGTTGGGGCAACCAATTGATATTTTTCTCTCTCTAAAATCAATAAACATATCCTTGGGTGAGGATTAAAACAAGAAATTTTAAAGAATATTTAATGTCAGATTCCTGCCTAGGCTCACACCTTTAAAAAAGTTAAACGATTCGAGTCAAATTATTTTGATGCCTCTGCCTTTAAAAAAGTTAAACAATTCTTTGAGTCAAATTATTTTTATGCCCTTGAAATATTTCTTATGGCTTTGCAGGAAGAAAGCCAATGCCCTATTGTGCTATAGTATGAGATCTTAAGCAGAAGCCCCTGAACCACTGCAATATTGTAAACTTTGGGGAGTTATGTCTATTTTCCTGGGTAAGGAAGTTCCTAGGATTCATCCGTCTCAAAGTAACCCTAAAAGGGTAACACATGGCTATAGTGAATTTATGCCTATACTTAAATATAATCATTACCTAACCTCCTAAAAAACTGTAACTTCGGATAGTACTGTACAAATACAAACATTATTATATGTCCTTTACTGGGTCAGGAGGACTATGTATAAAGAAAGGAGAAACTATTGAACTTTTTAAACATTTCGTTCAACAACAAAGCTACTAGTGGAAAACTGGGTTTGGAACAATGAAAAGAACTGAAGGGTTGGGTTTTGTGGTGAAGAAACACTGCATTCACTTTTCTTTGTTGTTTCTATGTTGAAGCAGCAAGAATTTATCATTATTTCCCTTGGTGGAAAAATCAAAGCATCTGAAGAAGTAAAGGTTGTTTCTTGCTGGTTAATGTGACGCAACAGTTCTTAATACACAGCTGGGTCCAAGAAGACCTTCCTATGCAACAGGGGAGTGGGAGGAGGAGAAGGGGGGAGAAGGTACAGAAAATAAGTAGCATAGACAGTAGATAGAAAATAGACAGGGGGGAGGGTAAGAATAGTAGGGGAAATACAGAATCTAAAGAACTTGAGACACGTGTTCATGAACTAAAGGGGGGGGGATAGTAGGGGAGGGGTGTGCAGGGCGGAGGGGAACGGAGGGGGGGAAATAGAACAAATGTAATGGCATAATCAATAAAAAAAACGTTAAAAAAAAAGAATAATCTTCCTCTGTCATCCTCACTGGTATAATTCACTCCTTCATCTCCCTAATTTTATTTTTAGCCCAGTTTTACAATGTATTAATTGGCTTTAGTAAGGTAATACATTGTTTTCTTGCTTAAAAAAAAAAAAACAACAGAATTGGCCTGTTTCCGTCTGAAGAAAGGGAGAAAACACCAAGAGGCTATTACAGGAAATGAAGCAACATCTCATGCAGGATAAGTGGGGCCGGAAAGTCACTTTGTTATTATATCAATTTAAACAACCCCCCCAACTAATAAAAGTATAAGTTTTCAACTATACTTTCAATATATTTTAGTTTTTCTAATCGGCACATTGCTACCTGTTGGTAATATACTTAGAAAAAGATGAGCTCAGAAGCCACAAGTTTAATATATACAGCAGGTAAAACCTGTGTTGAGGGGAACAAAAGTGGAAATGTTTATTTGACAATGGAGTGGAGCCTAATGCCTTTCATTATTTCTGCATATAGCATCCTATCAGTAATAACTAACACTTGACTGACACATTATTCCAACAAAACAATATAGTGTTATACTCGTAACACTCAGAAAATGTATTCTTAAATATTTCAAGCATATTCTGAACTAATATTTAATTTAAAAGAAATACAGTCCAAAACTCATGGCACATTACTAAAAGAAATAAAATAAAATTAGGCTTGTAAAATTTTAAACTATAAAGAAGTCTTCCTAAGTGCTTAAAAAAAAACTAATTAGAAGACTAGATGACTCAATTAAAAAATAGTCACCTCACCAGCAGGATTTGCAAGCAAGAAGTATATGAAACTCTTTACAGTCCCTTCAAAGAAAAACCTCAAATGAGTGATATTTATATACAAATATTTACATAATATTTTCTAATACCAAATTCTAACATAAAACTGTACAAATAGCAATCAAAACATAAAAAGGTTTAGACCTCTCATTCAAACTTTATAAATTGAAAGTATACACATCATGAAGTTCAAAATTAAAACAGAAAAAACACCCTTAACCAATTTAATCATTTCTTTCAGAAATCACAAACTGAATTTCCATATGAATTTGTCCAGTCAAGATAGGCAGTGAAATTATTTTGAAATATTAAAACACATAGTAATCATTTAGCTAAAATTGGATATTAGCACTGGCAGTATGTTTTCAAGAACAGAACAGAACACACAGTTGTACTTATAAATAAGATAAATTTAGCCATATATATATTTATGTATATTTTTAAATGCCTTAAACTCGGAATACACCAAAATTTTAAGGGCTGCAGAATTCTAAGAAATCTATTACCTCTTTCTCTGACTTGCTTCTCTCAGCAGGAGAGTAAAAGCCATTTGTTAAACACAATTAAGCATGCTGAATAGACTTGAGCTTCATCAGTCCAACTTTATTCCTATGCTGAGCAAAATTTATGGGATTTTCAACTTTGTGAAGAAAATAAACAGATTTTCAAGTGAATGAAGAAAATACAGACCAGTCTTTAAGGCAGAGATCTGCCTAATTCAGGAAATTATCTGGCAGATAATATAACTATTAGGTGGACAATACCTATGTTTTTGGACGAGTGATCCAGTTATATTAGTAACATACATTAGAATATAAATTCTACTCAAAATATAAACTCCTTGAGGGCAAGGACCTATTTATTCATTTCTTTATAGTCCAACGTGCTTTGCCTAGAACAGTGTTTTGCAAATAACTACTTAATACATCTTGTGGAAAATCTGAGTTATTAGCTGGATTAATATATTGCCAAACCAATGGTCACTAAAAGTACTACTATAACTCAGATTATTTGAATTACATAATTGATTTATTTTTTGATCCAAATTTCTTAATGTTATTAAGTTAGTAAAAAAATTAAGTGGCTGAAGCAGTACACTAATTGCATAGTAGTCTAGAAGCAAGTTAATGCTTTATAATTAAAAATACATCTGAAATAGTTCTAAAGCTGAGTTAAGAAAAATACCTCTTGGATTTTTAAAAGTTAATGCTAATACTGAGAAATGCTTGTGTTATCTGTAAAAGTATATTCCCTAAGAAAGTAGAAATTATGAGTTTACCTTGCTAAAACAATAAGAGATCAGTGAAATTGTTTAATGTTAGGGTAACAAGAGCCTGCTATACAAAAGGAATCTCCTATTAAAAGCAGCAAAGTGGGTTCATCCTATTAAAACATTTAAATGAAAGTACATTTTGAATAGTATGCTATCATCCCACATGAACTTTTTCCCTCCAAAGAAAATAACATACAACACATCAAAAAAATTTGAGGCATTGCCCTGAGATGCTAGTTAGCACACAAAAGGGGGTGGGATGCCAAGAATTTAAGTGGTACAAAAATGAAGTGCACAAAAGAGGTGCAAAAGTGCCTTGTAAAAAAAGTATGGTTGGTTCCCTACCACCACCATTACCCCCAGAAATGAAGAACACACAGTCTGTTGTTACGATGTATACTTCCTATATTTTTATAATGAAAAACTGTATCTAATGTGGCAATGCTGACTCATGTGGAAAAGACTTAGTCTTCTTAGATCACACTTATTAAAGACTTTTCTCACTTCCAAACCTAATATTTCAGTACTAATAATTTTAACAGAGGAATATTTTAACCTCTTTTCTATTTAAAGACTCTCAAATTAAAAGAGTATATATGCTGTTATTAGTTTAAAATATAGCTTTCTACCATATATTTTACTTGTAATTTAAGATTTTGCATTTCAAAAATTTAATTCAAGGTTTTGAAATTTCTAGAACAAAAAACTTGAGTCTACTTAAAAAGTTCAGAACCTGGCTTCTTATAATAGGGACTCAGTTTTAAGTACCAGTATGTCTGGTAATCAATCTATACTAGAAGGACTACTATTCGTTAAATGTACATTTAGATGTTTGCAAAGCCATAACTTAAAACATTATCATACTGCGCACTCTACCACAGATTTACACATTAAGCATTTATTTGTAAGTTAAGTATGGAATTGGTTTTCTAATTCCAACTGTTACGAATTTCTAAATATAAATAGTACTTGTTTTTCTCCACTCATGCTGGATTAAGATAAATTAAATACAATTAAGTTACATTTACTCACCTCACAAATAAGAGGGATAATGAAAAGATTTTGCTGGTATGTAACTACTTAAATCTGAGACATTTCACATTACTTTTCCACTACTCCCCTAACTTTACATTAGTTTTAAGACTATATATACAAATATGTATATTACCAAGTTATGGAAAAAACGATATAACAAAACTGATTATATTATCTTTTATACAAAAAATTTTGATTTTGTATTCCAATGTTGTATTTTAATAGTTTTCTAGTGGGGAATCTGCCTACTGAATGATTAATTAACATGGTGATAAATACAATATTCAACCTAGAGACAAAAATACAGAAGGGCACAGAACAGTAGTCTTTTCAACGTGACAGATTTTAAAATTAATTTCACATGCTTAGAGTAATTTAAGCCTAAATTAAATTAGGTTATTATTATATCTACAGTTCCTTAAATTTTGAAAGTTATTTTTAAAGGCCAACAGCTAAATATTATCAACATGCTATATTTCAAATCACAAATACATCTTAACTTGGATTCTAAAGACATGGGCCAATTAAAAATCACAGGCAAACACACACTCACAAACATACACACACCTATCATAAGGGTGTTAAGATTGTCAAGCTCTGACAATTATTTTAATTAAAACAGTAGGCAAATTTGAACTGATACAATCTTAATGAAATATAAGCAGCCAGAAAGAAACCCATTTAAAAAACAGATTAAGGAACAACAGAGACTTAAATCTTTTAGTCTTGCTAATGGAAGGGAAACAGTTCCAGCTATGCCTTGAGTAACGGGATTTTCCAATTAGAAGAGACTAAGATCTTTCCCAATGAGAAACTTCTCATTTACAATGGCATGATGTTTTAAAAGGGCAGGGTAAAGGAGGAATTACACATACATGATTTAATTTCTTGTTTGTTAAATCAAGCTTTATTGATAAAATGGAATTCAGAATATCTTACTAGGAACAGCAGCAGGCCCAGCCAATCATGATAGCAAAATGTGGCAGTCTCCCATTATATGTAGGAAGCTGCTGCTTATCAATTAATAATTAAATGTAAGGACTTGTAAAAGAGGTGCAAAGAATCAAGGCATTTTAAGCCCCAAGACTGATATTTTCATGAATATACTGCATAACCTGCAATACTCACGGCAACAAGTAGAGAACAACCTGAAAGACAGTTAAATGAAAGGACCAGCTTTATCAACAATGCCAATCCTCTGCCAAGAACATTATGATAGTTTCCAATTAACTCTCTGGATGTTTGGCTTTATGAGATTTTGGAATTTTTCTCCATAATCAAGTGCACATTTGAATGTCTAGCTGACATGGCTGCTGCTCTCCCTGTCCCAACCCCGAGTCCAAATACATGACTTGAAAGATCTATATATCTGTTGCGTCACACAACAAGCCAAACATTTCTTGCAACTTTGATAGTGATTTAAAGCGGTTCATAATTAAATATGAGCATTTTGTACAAAGGACAATTACACTTTACAAAAAACAAAATCATACAACAAAAATTGCTGGAGTCTGATTTACAACATGAATTATGGTTTGAAATCACGTTTACATAAGTCTCAAATTTACAAAAAAAAATTCAGTTCTGGGCTAGCTGTTGTACTGCTGAAGTTCTCTGGTGTAACCACTCTCACCCATGTCATATGCCCTTCTTTAAAGTTGATGACAGATGTTTAAAAGGTTCAGTGAAGATGAGCTGTACTCTCCTTTGGAGGTGAAGGTAAATTCCATGGCTAGATGAACAGTTCTACCACATATCATCAGTTGCTGTAGAGTCCTTTATAAAAGGAAACAAAGCAAAACAAGGAACTAAATTAAAGCTTAAAGGTGCCAAAATACATTACTTTCTGGATAATGCAGGAAGATAGGGTGGACTTTCAGAATATAAATGTTTTTTAAAGTGTATATAAGTAAGTATATGTGTGTATATGAAATATCAATATTTAATCCTTTAAAAACTTGTTAACCTTTTATTTTGTTCTGGAATAAAATACTTAAAAGTCTTTTACCATGAGGGTGACCAAATGTACTTCTAAACCAATAAAACTACTAAAAATTTCATTTTTTCTTCAAAGAACCCAATTTATTTTACTAAAAGATAACTTTTTATAAACTTTTATTGCATAAGAGATTAAGAACTCAAGTAATGAAATTCAAGGAGGCTTCATAATGCAATATATAAAATATTTCAGAACCTGTCCAAATGATTTAAAGCTATCACTTTTCTATGCAAACCATATGACAACACAGCTGTAATAAGAAACTTAATTGAGAATGGCATTCTAATATCTATTTATATAAAACAGAATTCTCTACTTTAATATTTAAATACTTCATTTAAATATTAAATGAAGTGTATACTTTAGGGGTCTTGGCAAAGGTATTTCTAACTATAAATAAAAATATACACTAACTGTAAAAAAAAACTCTAAATAAAAACTATTTAGTGGAAATGGACACCGTGAAGTTCTACTGCACTGCAGCTGCTGCTTACAAACTCAGAATTCAAGATTCTGAGTAATGATATTATTTCCAACTTCAAAAAAATGTTTAATGGAGGCAAATCTTTAGTTGACTGCTTGCAGAGGCTTAAAAAACCCACGATAATTCAAAGGGACTTTCTTCTTTTTTGAGAGGTAGCCACTCACCATGACTATGTCCTCAATCCCTAGAACTGTGGTGCGGGCAGAGTTCAGAGTAGTCAATCAGGTGTGTGTGTAAGAGAGCGGGTGCAGTGAACAGCTCTGCCAACACAGGTGGGAAGGATGTGCACTTAGAGCAGAGGGGAAGGGAAAGCAGACAGAACTAAAATGCTACTTACAGTGTCATCATTTTTGTAAGGATTCAGTCTATTGTAAACGGCTTCAATTACATTCCGCCTAAATTTTAAAAAATGCAGAAAGTTAATTCCTCTTCAGAGCACAAAACTGTTTAATAACTCACAGCCAAGGTTCATTAAAATGTCAAAGATAATCTTACACTTAAAAATTATTTTATTTCAGTTTCTTACTGTTAATATGTGAACCTCATTTGAAGATAGTTGGGGCTCCAATTAAAAAAGAGGTAAACTTGCTCTAAAATGTAACCTTCCACCAACCCAATTAATGCAAGACTAAATGTCATGATTTAAAAAAAATAATCAGTCTATAAAGTCTATTTCTATTTGAACTGGCTTAAGTGGTTATGAGTCAGCAATGAAGATGCAGGTTTATTTTTATTTTTATCCGCATTCGAGGACATGCTTATTGATTTTAGAGAGAGGGGAAGGGAGGGAGAGAAACATCAACTCAAGAGAGAAATATCAATTAGTTGCCTCTTGTACATGCCTTGACCAGGGACTGAACCCACAACCCAGACATGTGCCCTCACTGGGAATTGAACCCACAACCCGTCGGTCTACCAGATGATGCTCTAATCAACTGAGTCACACTGGCCAGGGTGAACAATGATGATGCAGGTCTTAAGATATAATACTAATATGTTCTGATTAAGAGTTAAATGTTATAGTAAAATAATTTACATATGTTTTACATTTAAGTTTGTGCTGTTTGTAATGCCCCTTTAAAACAGCTTTATTAAAACTGAAATGTGAAATGACATTTTCCTGACAAGTCTAGGAATTAGGTTTAGAATAATGTTATGTTAAAAAAAACCTGTAGTGGTATTTATAAATTATGGCCTCCCTACTTCTAAAATCAATTTGAAGTAATTTTATAGACAATCATATCACATTTGGAAGGAAAGGTTTCCAAAAAATAAAAGCTTCCAACAGGAAGCTTTATACTATTCAGTGAAAGAATCAAAAGAACACAGCTACACTTACAGAACACAGCAGAGAATAAAAAATTAGTCAATATATTGTTATAGGTCAATTATATGGATATCTGAGGTAAAAATGTTTTAAGCCTTGTATTACGAAATGGCTTAAAATGTCCACTTAAGTTTATAAAGATGAAAGCTTAATATTTAACACTGTACGTCCAGCTCTATGAAATAAAGTGCAAGGAGAAAAAGGCAAGAAATGCAACCCTTATACCAAAACCCAACCTACCAGCAATTGACAACTGAAACCACTGGGAAAAGTCGAATGTAACAAAAGGGCCCCAGTGGAGGAGGAGGAAATGCTCATCTCTGGGGTGAATTATTCAGGACTTGACCAGATCAAATTATAATAGGAGGAGTAATAATGACACTTAGAATTTTGTAGTGCTATGTAACTTAATAAAAAAATATTTTACTACATTATCTCATTTATGGTATATGAGGAAATCAGTATAATCCAAACCTCCACTAAGGACAGCTTTCAGCATCATTAGTTAAAAACAGTAACATTCTGATACTTATTCTTAACAAGTACCATATATCATTAATACTGAGAAACAGTGAACCACAAATTAAATGTTCTGAAGATATAGATAATTGCATCACTTTAGAAATCAGGTAACATACAATCAACAAACACCTAAAATTTTCATGTACTGAGATAAATCATTAGGAGTATGCAGAATGTAACTTACTTGCTTGCCAATTCACCCCCTGGTGGGAGGCTGGGGATGTTCTCACTTGCTAATGTGCGCATCACATGGACTAAGTCAGGGACGCCTTCCCCCTGCTTCTTTATGATTTCTGGGAATCAGAAGTACTTTTTTTGTAAATGTTATCCAAATTTAATAAAAAAAAAACTGAAACAAAGATAACTTAGGGTTTTAAAGATGGCATTTACCACATTTGAGATTTTCTAAACTGGTATAAGAAAAAATCGAGTTGACCTTTGAAAATTTATGACAAAGGGATATACAAAAGGACATAAAATGTTCATAATTAACTGCAAAGAACAAAAATAAACAAGACAAAAATGTGAAAATGAAATTTCATATTAAAAAATCAATATATTACAGAACCAGAAATACATGTATACAAATGAGAATATTCTCAAGATGCCAATTAGTTATTTCTGATATCAACTTCTCTCTTCAGATTGAAAACAACCTGAACTTTGCCCTGAAAATACACTGCGTAAATTAAAAAAAAAAAGATACTTTCAAGACTTGAAAAAAAAAGTAATCTTAAGTAAAGAGGAATTTACTGACTATACTAAAGCAAATTATTTTTATACATAATTTTATATTTGCAAAATGATAAGTAGCACTGCAGATTAGGTTATGTACTCAAAACACCATTCTCAGTTTTATTTTTTGTCTAATGTATTTGTAAGCAAGAAATATATATACATATATATATAAAATAGCTTTTCCTTAGTTAATTATTTGAACAAAGCATATAGAATGGGAAAAAAAGCTAAGTTTGATGACAAAAATTTAAAAAAGAAAACGTTGATAAATCACACCACTGTACTTAAAATCATTCATTTCAAACCATTCAGTCACTAAATGGATATAGTAATATGGTCTGCAGTCTTGCCATGCAGATGCATATTGTTATTCATACCTCAGAACACGAAGAATTACGTACAAGCAACTTAAAGAACTCTCCTACTATTCGCTTTAAGTACAAGAAATCTTTACTTGAAGTTTTAGCATATTTATTCTAAATGCAAGATCATGCCAAAGGTATCTGAGTAAGTTTTATGTTGAAGTTTTGTTTTTTGTTTTTTAATGTTTATACTAAGATATTTTCTTTGTCACCACTGGGGGAAGAATATTATCATTCTTGTACGCAATTTGTAAATACCTTTGAAAATACCAATGCATGTAAAGATGTTTCATCCTTTGACCAAATCTCAAAATATTAATTCATCTTTAAAGCCACATATTAAAAGACAGACAATACTACCCATATTTCTTTAAATGGCTCAAACTATCCTTTTAGAATTAAGGCCAAATTTTACCACCTATTATATTTTGCCTTAAAAAAAACAGTCTTAAATCTGAATAAAAAGCAAGGATCTCAGATTTGGTTTGCCAAGTTCCTTTATTGTGTAATCTTTAACATCTAGTATATTTATTCTACATGGTTCTAATGCTGAAAATCTGCTGTACAAAAATAAAAGTGGATGTTTACCTAAACTGCACAATTTCACAATCTAAAGCTGTGTTACACTTAACATACAGTCTCTGCTAAGCCAATACAATTACTGGATAGATAACTAGACATAATAGAAATGAACACTGATGATAAACTCAGTCAATGATAGTTTCAGGTCTAAAAAACATTACTTTTAATTGACTATAATTGATGTATCTGACATCTCTGTTAAAATATAAATTAGGATGTTTTAATTGTGAAGAAAATTACAGTAAGACAAATTCTTTAAAAGAATAATGTAAGACTTTAAAAAACTGTTACTATCTCCTATTCCACATGGGACAATACGTTTAAACTATCTGACAATACATACTATGGTAGCCTTGCTTCTTTCTGTTTTTAAAAATAAAAAGAAATGAATTTTAATAAATATTCCTTGAACTATTCTTGGACTATACATTTTAATTAGAATTGTAAAAAGACTGTCTTTCATTGAAGAACACATATGTTTAGAAGATCTATGTTTCACATACCCATATAGGAACACATTCTGCTCCTCCATACTTCCCTCCACCAAGTCTGAGGGATTCTAGCAGTTATCTCCAAATTAGCAACTTAAAGCCTGGGCAGTCAGTAGCAAAGATTTAAAAAATATGTATGTACAAGTATAATTTTAAATTGGCTTAAAAGGACCACAACGTTAGGCAGCACGGTTTAAATTACAAGCTAAATCTTTTCACAATCTGAAAGTCAAGTTTTAGAAGGACACAGATTATAGGAGAAGAGCTGAAAAGCCTCTGTCCTTTTCTGTGATATAAATGGAGAAGCCAAAAGTATTCAAAACAAATGAGATTTAGAAGGTCACAGCAATTTAGTGAATGTATATATTTAAAAGAAAAAAAGGAAAGAAAAAGGTACTCGATGACTCGATGTCTCTTTTGGAAGATAAATGCAGTATTTTTCACTTTTAAAACATAACTTTTATACTACAAGTGGTTACATTCTTTCTATATTTTTAATATAGTAGTCACTTTAATGAAATATTTATTCTATAGTTACAGTCTCATCAAATTTACCTCAGTAAAGGGTATGGTATTTAATTTATGACATAATCTCCAACTGAATGGTACAAGTGTAATAACACTACAACATATCAAAATATTTAGTGTTAATGTAAACGGTTTAGGTAGCAATTCTTACTCGATAGTAAGCAGTATAAAACTTAATAGTATACCATAAAATTACGCTCCTAAAGGATTTAGATGTGCATCAAAAACTTGTGAATGCACACTAAAAAAGTAGCAATTTATTTCTAAAATTTGATCCCATTTCATAGTAATAAGTACTACAGTACTTATTCTTGTTTCTTTAAATCAGTGAGAAAACATGTATGCCCAGGTTACTTTAAAGAGCCAATAAATTAAACACCAGCTTATCCCAATACATATTCTTATGTCTTCATACTTGTACACTCACCAGCAGTTTGAACCAATGTGATATGATTTGGTACCATTCTAAATATTTTACTGGATTATAAATAAATAACTTACATTGAAACGACTCACTTAAAATATAAAAATTCTAAGACCCTTGGCAATAGTGAGAAAACAAACTCATCGAATAGTATGTGCAATGAATGAAACACTAAATAGTACATACACATGGTACTAAATATATCACTATCAAGTGGGGGACAACTATAGAAACATAATAGCACCTCCAAATAGTACTGCAAATCAAAACCAATAATGATTCTAATATCAGATCAATTATAACTGATATAAAACAGAAAAGGGGAAAAATTAAAGTGCACGCTGATTTTAATAAAGCAGGCACAGCAGGATATAATAGTGTGTAGGTCAATGCTTACATGCTATTAGAGGTCTTTAACGTGCAAATTAATGACATTAGAAACCCCAAATGCATTTTAACACTATTATAGGCATGCCAAGTTTTTCTGCTTAAAAAAAAACCCTGCATAACTTACATGCTTAGTGCATATATGCAGTAAACTGGAATTCTCTGGGGAGATTTAATATTTATACCAAGTAGTATCTGCATTGAAGATCATTTAAATTTTTCACATATTTAAAGGCATTACACTTGAGAGTTACAAACACCTTTCTAATGGTCTCAAAGTAATTTGCAGAATTTTAACAAGTATGTTCCTAGAATTCCAAACTTATTTCTTGATTTAGTCAGCATTTACATTTCTGCCACGTAGAGACCTAGCATGTCTTTCTATTCAGGTCTATGTTTTCTAGGTAAGGCAGTTTATGACTTAGGCAAGAAAGCCTTAAAACAGTTTAAAATATACACAGCTTTACAGAAAAAGATGGTAATCAAATTATCACCATCATAAATAATCTGTTTATAATTAAATAAACAACAAACCAGACTTTCCTGGCATAAAATTCCTCATGCCAGTGAATTCAGAATTTCAAAACATACAAACACTGAAGCCTTTTTAAACAAAAGTATCCTGAACAGAACGTACAGGGCCATACTGATTGTTATTTCTAATATAACTGATGAAAACATTACAAGCATCTAAACAGCTACTACAGAAATGCCCTTTCCCACTTTTGTACACTAAACACTAGATGTCACAGGCATGTAAATATCTAAAAGCTAAAATGTTAAAGTCTGATTGTGTTGAGGTTTTTCTTTAATAAAGCTACTTATTTTTTGTTAAATGATCCACCTTCTACTCTGCTTTCCAGGTACTTGTCCAACTCTGCCTCCTTCTTCACTGCTTCTGGTGATACTTTGGGCGCATTTGGAAAACAGATCAATATCACACTCATGTTGTCTCGACTTCCCTGGGAAGAAAAAAGTTTGAGAAAATATTTTGGTTTCATTTTTGCTCTTGGAAGCCTTGAGAACCTTTACAGCCATGCCAATTATATTTATTTCTACTAAAATTATATGTGGAAGGGGTACCCCTCCATACACATATAGTATATATAGTACACAGTATAATCAACACTAAGATAGGAAAGAAACACTGCAGGTTAAATTCTACTGCAACAATCATTTAAAAAATTCTATGAAACAAAATCACTTCTGAAAATTGGTGGCCTACTTTACTTGAAGTGATACCTAAAGACAAATATACATACATACGGATATTAATTTACTTCAACAAAATAGAAAAATTCTAGTGGTATTCCTTAAACAGTATTTGACCTGTGGCTACACTATACTTGACAAATTTACATTTAAAATAAACTATAGTAAACTGTGGGGCTAATTAATTTGCTTAAGTAGACATATGGAATTAGAAAACTACATACATGAAGTTTATAAGTCAGCTTTCACTTTCCATAATTCAAAAACAATGACAACTTTTAGAAAATTCATTCGTTTTTAAAGACACCTAGGTATTCAAAATGCTATAATTAAAATACTTGAATAGATGCTGGACTCCTCATACCCCCCTTCCTATTAGTAATTAGAGTTAACTTCCACATTTTAAATATTTAATCTCACCATATGGGAAAATTGACATTATATTCTTAGTTTGAGCAAATAATACAAAGAATTTAATAGTAAAATACCTTGAGGGAAAAACTGCATAAAATGTGGCATACAATAAAGTATTGAGTAATTTTGAAAATAGAGTGAAATACAGAAGAGAAAAAGTGGAATCTGAGCCATAATTTACTAATATCTGAATCAGACAACTCTCTTAAGAAAACACCTTTTAATGTAGCTGACAAGTATTTAATACTCAAGTAATACAGAATAAACCCATCAAATAGATGCTACTTTAATGCATATACTAAGAGTCAAAGAACATATGCATCACTGTTTGGTTTTCCTCAAATTCAGAAATTAACAGTGTACACTATTAAGTTGTGGCTCTACTGATCTATTGATTTTTTAACTTAAGTGTTGAATGTTACATAAATTTGGTTTGGTTTGGATGCCACATAAAGCTGGTTTCTTTCTTTTCTTTTAAGATTTTATTTATTTTTAGAGGGGAAGGGAAGGAGAGAGGGAAAGAACTATCAGTGTGTGGTTGCCTCTGGTGCATTGATCCCTGGCAGAAACTGACCTGCAACCCAGGCACGTGCCCTGACTGGGAATTGAACTGTGATCCTCTGCTTTGCAGGTCCGTGCCAATCCACTGAGCTACACCAGCCTGGGCAAAGCTGGTTTCTAAGTAGGATCAGATTTTAAGTAGAGCTGGCACAGTGCATATAAAAACTACAAATAATATGTTGACTTTCTCCTTCTGCATGTTAAAAGAAAGTCAAATATATAGCCTGAGAAGAGTTGTACATAATCAACATTTGCTTAAAACAATCAAAGAATTAGTCAAGTGTTACTGACAAAAGAGAACACTAAACTTAAGACTTAGGTTCTAGCCTTAGTGCTACCGAAGAAGTAAATTATATAAACCTGTAGAAGTCATTTTTAACTTCTCTAGGATAGGGAGCAGTTTGTTCCCAGTACGCACTATTTGCTAAACTAGGCACTTCATATGTACACATTAGTTCATTAGTTTAGTTCCTTAACAATCCTGAGTTAGATACTATTATCTCCATTCAACAGCTGAGAGAGGTTGAACAATATGTTCAACACTTTAGAGTACAAAAGTAATAGTAGTCAGCCTTGATTCCAGGCTGTATGACTCTTAAGTTACAGAGCCTTCTCTGGCTTCAACTTCTTCTGTAAAATAAAGGTGGTGACCTGGCTCATCTACATATACAATCCCATTTGATCATCCCAACAACCACATGAGGCAGGATATTAGTATTTCTTACCTTTTTTACAAATAAACTGGTTTTCCATATCAATAGCTTACTTGAAGTCATACACATAACATACCAAGTTATTCTGACTCCATGTCCCATACTATTTCTATTACATCACAACAACTGATCACTAAATTCTCTTTGTTGGTGCTAGTTTCATGAGACCATAGTCTCAAAGTATTAAATTACTGAGATATCACGTTTAAAAAATAAAATATTAAAATTCTGAAATACTTTTTACTTATAAATACTGAGGCCTAACCTCTCACTATCCTCTTTTAAAAAACACTGTACTTTATATAATAATCTTTTTACCTTTGACAATCTTCCACAATATTAAAATACCTTGAGGGAAAAGTAATCATGCTTAATAAAAGACTAATCATTCAGATTATAACTCTTGCATATTTGGTAATTGGGTAATTTATTTATAAAACATGTTCCTATAGTTTCATAACAGGTGAAGAGTACCTGCAATTATGCCAAGATCTTATTTCTGAGAACTACAGGTCTAAGATGATTAAATACTAGAGTAATAATTAAGATGGCATAAAATAATTTTATCTTAAAAAGAAAAAGTCCAGCTACCTTATACAAACAGGTGTCGACTACTTCATTGCAAACTTTCTCAAGGTCATCAGTGACTTCAAGTCTGGATCTTACAAAATCACAGAGCTCTTCATTTCCCATAACATCCCAAATACCATCACATGCAAGGATAATGAACTGATCATCTTCTTCAGATCTTTCAATATCATGGACTTCAGGCTCTGGTGACACAAGCTGCTCTGTAGGACCTTTTCCGTGGACACATTTGTAATCAAAGTCCCCAAGGGCCCTCGATACAGCCAGAGAGCCATTCACACGCTGAATCATTACAGAACCACCTGCATTCTGAATTCGTTCTTTTTCCAGCGGATTACTTGGTTTGTGATCTTGTGTAAAGAAGTGAACTTTCCTGTTCCTACAAAGTAACCCTCTCGAGTCTCCACAGTTAATGAAATAAGTATGTTGAGGAGAAATTAAGACACCCACAGCTGTTGACCCACTTCTATCTGCACCATGTTTCTTCTCTGACATAACTCTCATGTGTTCATCAATCTCCAGAAAACCTGTTCTGATTCCATTCTTTACATTTTCCACTGAAGGTGCTCCTGCAGACCCTTTAAAATCCTGGTTATTGGTGATGTGATCTAACAAATGCTCACAGCAGTATTTGGCAACCTGAGAACCAGCATGCCCGTCATATACAGCAAAGAATGACCACGTTTCAAGTCCACTTGGCAAACCAATGACAGCTGTATGTGCATCCTCCATTTCAACTCGCCAGCCTTGCATGCTGCTTAGCCCATATCGCAACCCATTACCCTGCCCCTGGGCATTATGTTTTTCCATCTTTGGCTTGTCTAAAAATGCTCCCATTATGTCTTGATCCTTTAGGTCTGCAAAAAAAGAGAAACAACTAAGTTAATAACTATTTTATAAACAAAATACATATCCAACCACCTTTTAAGAGTGAAGGAGATACAAAGAAAGCTTTCAGTAAGAATTCACAACTCTTGTGATAAGCACTCACTGTATTGCTGACTTGTAATCTGGAGATTAACAAAATACAAGCAGTGAAAGACTGACCAGGAACAGCTAAGAATGGACAACAGGCAGAGAGAACCAAAGCATCAGGATAAAAAAGGCAGATAAGGCACTCTCTTCAAGGCATTACCACTTAAGGTAAAAAGATGACTTGGCAGTGGTCATCAACTTATACAAACTAGGCCATGCGTTTAAGTATGCATTGAATGTGTGACTCTTTTAGGGAATCTCAGAAGTAAGTTGTATGTGTATATATCAAGAAAAGCCAAATGAATTCACAGGACATACCAAAAACCTACTAATTCAAAAGTCTTAGTGGAACATTAAAAGTTTCTAAAATTTGATTCCAAATTATTTACTCCATCAACCCTCAGAAAAAGTAAAAAGTGATTTACTCACAAAGGTCCAAATCTGCACACTCTTTTCTTTAAACCTTTGCTCATATTAGTCCCTGTTACTGGAGTTACTTGCCTCTCCTCCCTACTTATAAAAAAGCAAACCTGCACTGACCCATGTGGCTCAGTTGGTTTGACACTGATTGATGAGTATGCATGTATGCTGTATACACTTACACATACCATTCCCAATAAAAGCCATTTGGGAGATGGGCCTGGGGCATTCCCCACTGCAGGGAATCGCTACCTCCTTTTCCGCCAGAACAAGATTGTGTCCAGGACAATTTATTTCTTATCTGCAGCAGCCAGGAGGAGCTCCGCTGGCCAGAGTTCCTCCCACAGGGCATCATTCTGCAAAGCAAAAGGTCACTGGATCGATTCCTGGTCAGGGCACATGCCTGGGTTGTGGGCCTAGTCTCTGACTGGGGCATGTTCAAGAGGCAACCTATTGATGTTTCTCTCACACATGGATGTTTCTCTCCTCTTTCTCTCTCCCCTCCCCTCTCTAAAAATAAACAAAACCTTCTTTAAAAAGCATGCCCATCCTTTAAAGTCTAGTTCAAATTTTATCTTTTCCATGGGTTTTCAGTCTTTGATACAGGCAATAAGATACTAAATTACCCCAAGTGGTCCAGCTTCAATTTTCAAGTTGTAAAGCAATTACACATACGAAGTCTGTCCAGAAGGTATCCAACCATGTAATATGAAAAAGACATTTTTCAAGTAAGATACAAAATATAAGAAACGTTGTACATAGGACAATGACATCTCAGCCCCCTTCAAAGTAGGCATCTAGGCATATAATCACCATCAGTTGCCCCACTGTATTTTCCTGAACCTCACTGGCAGTCTGAAATATCTTTCCTTTCAAAGGTGATTTTAGTTTTGAAAAACTGTAAGTTGCAGGGCACCAAACCTAGGCTATAAAGGGGCTAAGTCACCAGGGTGATTTGATGTTTTGCCAAAAAACTGCATGAGATGTGATTCAGAAGCGGGTGCACTGTCATGATGAAGTTGCCAATCACCAGCTGCCCATAGCTGTGGCCTTGTGAATCATCCAAATAGTTTCCATGGACTGTTCAAGCTTAACGCAAAATTTAATGCAGATTTGTTGCTCTATTTGATAATTTTGAATGCCATGGCCATACAGTACAAATGTTGACTCAAAGGTGTCTTACTGCCCCCATTGACTAGTACAGTGAAGTTGCCACTATTCACGCATGTGCATTCCAGTCCACTCTCCTTGGCTGCCAGGTTACATTGATGTCATGCAAACCATTCTCAGTTTATTAACAATAGCTGGACTTTCCCCGGAAAGACCTCATACCTATAACAAAGCTTATATATAACAAAATTAATCTACTATAATCTGGTATTCTATTAATCTGATGGTATTAATATGTATCATTATCACTGCACTACTCTATGACCATTAGGTATAAATTGTAAAAGAGATAAATGGGTCTGTGGACAAGCCTGAGAGCTTAGTTAATCTAATCCTTTCCAATAATCAAAAGCCAAAACCCCTGGTCTGGGATGGGCCCACACAAGGCAGGGAGACAGCTGGTTGGGATTTAGGTTGGTCTTTAATTAACAGCCTAGGAATGGAGAGACTTGGGGCCCAAGTCATCAAAAGAGTCAAGAACTGACTACAAACCAATCTGGGGGAAAAAAAAAGATAGAATGACATTGAATAGAGTTAAAGGGGAGATGGATTTTCAGGGGTAAAGAACAGAAAAAAGTACCTCAATAAATCAGGATATAGTTATGAGACTAGGGTACCAATGATGCTGGTGATGCTTAGCTGTGAGCTGCTAGGAGAAAAGGTAGAAGAAAAACCCTTAGAAAAAGAAATAGTTTACCTACAACCTCTCCATGTTCTTTTTCCTACTATGGTTAAACTAATACACAGGCAGAGAAGTCTGGCTCGTTGGTGCGATAAAATAATCCCCTGCCTATTCCTGTGCCCCTGTTGTAATTCCACTGATGAAAGGTAAATGATGAAAACCAGCCATCATTTATTCCTTATGTTGGTATTCACCAGATTACTGTTCCAACACCAAGTTGATACACATTATGGAAAAAGTGTTTTGAATGGACAATGATTAATATGATACACCTTAATGGTAGACAACATTTAAGAATTCTAAAAACAATTCTCAGTATTGTATAAGCACTACCTCACTCATTCTCAACAACCCTATCTCGATGATGAAGATGTCATAGAATACAGAACTTTGGGGGAGGCAAAATATGCCAAACAAATATAACCAAAAATAAATCAAGAATTTGCGATTTTAATTTCAAACAGAGAAAACATAAGAAATAAAATAAATAGGATGACTGTCTTTACAAGTTGATAAAGGTGTAGTCTAAAATAATAACTTAACTTATGTGCTAAAAATTTTATGCCAAATAACTCATGGAAAATCAATAAAAAATACTATGCTGAAATCAAGATATATTTTGTTCAAATATGCTTGAAACATTAACTAAAAATCAAGTGTTCGTTAGACTTTATACTGGAAAACAAAAGCTTTAGAGTTTCCTAACACACTCCCAACCCACCCTGCCCTGGGGACCAAAAAAACCAGAAAACAAACCATACAGACCATATTATCTGACTGTAATAGAAAAGCAGTAGATACTGGTAACAATAAAAATAGAAAACTTCAAACATCTGAAAACTGCTCTAAAATCCATGCTTTTACTCAACTATGCATCAAATTTCTATATTTTTACAATTACAGAATATTTAGAAACAATAATAATGAGAAAAACCTCATATCAAATTCTAATCAAATAGAAAACTGTAAACTGTACCCAAAAAATAATTAATTAATTAAATAAATAAAAATTTAACTGCCGCCTTGTAGATTTCAAGAAAAATAAAGTTTACAGATGTTAAACCAATCCCCCCCAAAAATTATAATCAAATATTTTTCAGGAAAACTTACATTCTCTTAGTAAAAAGTGAAAATCAGTGTATTAAATATTCAAGAAGTAAAACAGTACAACCACATATACACACACAAAACCTAAGGAAAGCTAAAGGAGTGTATTATGAAAGATTAAGGTGAAAACTATAAGTTATGAGAAAAAATGAGCAAAACAGGTAAACCAATAGTTAGCCTAATTGAGAAAAACTATTATTAATATTAGAAACCAAATAAGCTATACTTCTCTCACAGATAGGACCATGTTTTATTTTTTATAAAACACACTGTACAATTAATTCTTTGCTAATAAATTTGAAAATATAAAGGAAAATGACAATGTTCTTGGAAACAAATTACCAATTTTTTTCCAAGAACTGATAGCATATAACCTGTCCCTTTGGAACAAAAGGAGAAAGTTATTAAAGAACTATCCCTCAGAAAAAGCTCCAGGGCTCATTAAAAACAAAAAACAAAAAGACTGAAGAACCATTCTTGGTTTAAGAAGACCGAAGAGATATTACAACAAAGTGTCATGTGTGATCATGCACTGCCTTACATATGCATATTTGTGTGAGTAAAGAAAATATGCACATGTACACACAAAGGGGGAAAATGTTTATCAATGCTAACAACAGCTGGTCATTTAGGTAAATAAGGATGTTCATTGTACTTTTTTAAATTCTAATTTTCTGTAAATTTCAATTGCTTTCAAAATAAAGTAATTAAAAATAAAAGTGCACTGGGCAAGACAATTTTATAACCAAGATCTTTCAAGCCATAAAAAGAATATATAACCCCAAATTATCTAAATTACCTAAAGAACAGAGAAAAAAATCTTCCCACTTCTTTTCATAAACCTTCCATAATCCAGATATACAAACGGACAGATAGCACTAAAAAACTTATAAACACACTCATTAATACAGATGTAAAAACCCCAAAGTAAAACATGAGCATTTATTACAAGTCACCAAGAAGGGTTCATTTTAGGAATTTAACTGTGAGCCAACATTCATTGACCTATTAATATAATATTCATCTTCTTAAAAGTTAAAAGGAGAAAAACCTTATGATCATTTCTTCATATGACAAGAGGTGTCTGATAAGATTCATCCTGTAATAGGATAACATATATTTCAAGCCAAATAGGAAGCATAATGATTAGAACAATTCCAAAAGCAATACCTGCTCTTATCCCTATCATTTAGCAGTATAGAGAAATGTGATCAATGCAGTAAGTCCAGATTTTTTTAAAAAGAGGCATAAAAGTATGAGGCAAGATCAAACTGTTATTTGCAGATAATGACCAAATCGATGGCAAATTCAAAATCTAAAACATTATTGGGGAAAAAAGTTCAATAAGGTACCTGGCTATAGAAATAATAACCACCACTTACAAACACAAGTATATCTAATTCAAAATTAACAAGAAATATTCAGTACCTTTGAGAAGAGAGCCTCAGGCCCTGGCCAGGTAACTCAATTGGTTAGAACATCATCCAGACAGACCAAAGTTGA